TTGGTTTCAAGATCTTGCTATAAACCTTAGACTTTCAATTTCATTTTACTCCTATTTAGGTAACTACTTTATATCTTACTTAGGGCTGAAAATAGACTGTTAGTTCACATCTCTTAATTTTTTCCCTGTTGCAAAAATTCATTCATTTTCAAAGTTTCTTGCAAATGTCTCCACCTATCACCATTCAACTACACACAGATTAAAACTCATATGGATCATGGAATCTTCATGCTTCTTACGGTCTGAATGTTTATGTCTCCCCCCCAATTCCTATATTGAAACCCTAACACCTAAATTGATGTTACTAGGGGGTGACGTGGTCAAGAGGGTGAAGCCCTCATGAAGAGATGAGTGCCCTTACAAGAGAAGCCCCAGGAAGCTCCCTTGCCCCTTCCGCCACGTGAGGGCACAGTGAGAAGACAGCCATCTACAGAACAGGAAGCAGACCTCAGCATACAGTGACTCTGCAGGCACTCTGACCCTGAACTTGCCGGCCTCCAGAACTAGGAGAAATAGGTGCTTGTTGTTCGTAAGCCACCCACTGTGTTACCGCAACTTAGAGGGACTGAGACACTGCTGGGAAGGATAAAACGGATCATCCCCCCAATACCTCATCTTCCTTTTCAAGGAGCTGAGACCTAAGAAATCAAGTGCACTTTGTCTACGTGGCCAGCATCACACCTACGTCACCGTGCAAAGCAGCCATTTAAACTTAGGACTCTGTGTGGTCTGAGTCATGCGACTTCCTAGTAGGACTGATTCTGTAGTCCATTACAAATTTTAGATATCTAAAATCAATTTGGTAGCTTCCAAGTATCACAGGGATTTTGACAATAAATAAAAATAAAAAATAAAAGCCGATACATATAGTCAGCTAAACATCTACCCCTTTAGGAGACAGCAACTTAAAAAGAATTAGACCTTTTAAAGAGAATTAGATCTTTTGCTCTGTGACTAATGAAGGAAAGCAATCATGTAAACTCACCTCTTAATTCATGTAAAATATTAACAGGAAAGTGAAATTACACAGATAAAAGATAACTCCAGAAAATGTTTAATATAATTTTCTCCAATATAACACACATGCTTTAAAAATGAACAAGGATACTTCTTTCTAAGACTCATGTCAGAAATACACCTGGTATACATGCTGAGACGACTAAAATAATCATAACTTTTCATACACTAGTTTCTGAAACTTCCTGAATGTGCTTTTGGACCTTGCAATTAAATGCCCCTCTAACATTTTCTGAGGCACCTGTTGCCATGGCACCTGGGCATTCTGAAGAGGTACTTATTGGGGATGACACTTCACAGATGTAGAGGAACTATACTGTGATATGAAAGACAGTTCACACAGGAAGATAATTTTCAGAACTCTTTGGGGACTGACTGCACGTAGCAGTTGATGAAGGGTAAGTGGATTTGTGAAGCCAGTGACGCACGCTTATGTCTACCATTCACATACATCCCACCAGTGGACCTCTTCTTGGTGTCCTCAATCTAAGGCACTGATTTGTTAAAAGATGTTCTGAACTCTACAAAAATGGCATAGACTCTTTCGATGTTTATATTTTAAATCTTACTGCACTTGCCATTCAATAATGGCAAAATAAGAGATCAAAAAGGGTTAAGATAAATTAATGAGCTAAAGGTCCACCACATGTAATAATCAAGAGGAAGGCTGATGTATTTAGAAAATATACCTAGCCATGAAGTTAGAACACAACTATTGTCTTTTGTAAGATGTTTTCTGATGCCAGTGAAGGATATCTGTCCACAAAGCCTTCTTTGCTCCCAAAGAAGACACAGTCACTCCCTTCCAATGTGGAAAGCACTGAATCTCTTAACCTTCCATTTCATTTTAAACAATTTAAGTAAAATGTCTTTTAGCTTCAACTAGATTGTAAGTTCCTTGGAGCAGGATCTCTGACTGATCTGGGTATTCGTCAAAGCCCCAAGTACACAGATGCTGATCATAATATAGTAACATGAAATAGTAGAGGAAGAGAAGAGGGGGAGAGAAAGAGGATGGAAGGAAGAGAAAAGTGGGTAGGAGGGGAAGGGAGAAAAAGGAA